GCTGCAGGTACCTCGAAGACGAAGCTGGAGCAGCGGCGCTGCAGGTAAGTGATCCCTGGCCTCCGCCCATCACCTCTACCACTACCTAGCTATGGCGCCCAGCGCCGAAGACTACAGCTACCTACTGCGCCCAGCGCTGAAGACTACTAGCTAACGCTACTCGACTACAACGCAGCGCTCCCTCCAGAGTGCCGCTCCCGAATCCTGAAGACTACAACTGCCGAACTGGCTACCTAGGAAGTGCCTTGGAAGTCCTATGTACTACCTCGGCCTGCCTCCTGACTACTGAAGGGCAGTCAGGCCGAGGAGGCAGCTCTTGCCAATGCCGAAATGTGCCAGAAGCTGGCGTGCAGCAGCCTGCTTGAGGCTGGCGTAGGAAACAGACTAATAATAGTCTGTTTCCGAAACCCTGGTTCGGTGCCTGAGTTTCAGGGCCCTTCGTTTCAGGCTAAAAAGGTTGTTGCCATAGTCTGGAACGACAAGGGATAGGCCCTGGACTTCAGGCTTTTGGCCTGAACTGACAGCGGGCCTGTAAGCCCTGGATTTCAGGCCTTCGGCCTGAAATTCAGGCTTTCGGCCTGAAGTTCAGGCTTTTGGCCTGAACACCGTCGGGCCTGCAAAATGGCCATCGGGCCTGCAAAATGGCCCGTGTGTGCACGCACTGCATGTAACACCCCCCTCTCCTTTTGAAGTCAAGCCGGGGCGAGGGCGAAGCCGTCGGTCTGAAGGTGGAATCTGGATGCGGGCGCGACGTGGAGCCGAAGAATCCGGCTTGCCTTGCATCTTGCGTTCGTAGCGTGCGAGAACGTCTGGAGCTGTCGCTTGCAGTTCCGTACGGGTCAACCAACGATCAGCTCGATGAGTGCAGTAAGCAAAATGCACCAGATACTCAGTTGGCTTGTTGYCGTWGCGTCRYTKGGAGATGATGTCGCCGACCTCCTGAAAACCATCCATAGAAGGTGGATCCTGCGTACGTCTCCCGGGAAAATCATCATGTTCCGCAAGCGTGTACAGAGCCAATTTGGAACAATGAAAGACAAGGTAGACGGGCAAGTGGCTAGGCACCTGAATCGTGAAGGAAGGCCCCTCAGGTGCGTCCCCAGCGGGCTCGATGATCGGCCAAGGCCCCATCCATTTCGGAAGGAGCTTGCGAGAGATGTCCTGTTCAAGGCTGAATTCCGCTGCTGAAACCCAGACAAGGTCTCCGGCGTGGAATGGACAAGTAAGACGCTGGCGATTTGCCTGTTGGCGCATGCGCTGTTGCGTCTTAGCCATCTGGTCGCGTGCCTTGACAAAAAGCTCTTGCATCCGACGCAAGAAAAGAAGATGGTCGTCGTTGTCGGCCGTGCATGGAGTAATCGTGTCCAACGGTGACGTGACTGGCGAGCCGTGCTCGAACTCGAAGGGCGATATCCCAATAGCTGGGTGGATGGAAGAGTTGTAGGCCAACTCAACGTCCGGCAGTCGCTCAACCCTGTCTTTCTGGTCGGGGCGGATGAGAGTGCGAAGGAGAACCTATGCGGTCTGATGCGCCCTCTCCGTTTGGCCATCTCTCTGAGGGTGGCGAGTTGAACTGGGTTTGAGAGATGAGCCCCATCGCTTGATGAGCGCCAACCAAAAATCGGACATGAACCGAGTGTCGCGGTCGCTAACGATCTCCTTGGGGTAACCCTTGGTGCGAACAGAACCTCAGCCAACTCCGGTGCCTTGGCATGATAGCGACAAGGCAAAAACATGGCGAACTTGGTGAGTCGGTCGACCACCGTGAGAATCTCATCCACTCCAGTCTTGTGCTTGGGGAACGGCCCGGTAATGTCCATGGCAATCGCTTCCCTTCGTCGCAACGGGACTGGTAATGGTCCTAACTCGCCGTATGGACGATGGTTGCGGGATTTGCAGCGTCGGCAAACCTCGCATGACTCGCAATAGGGCGTGACGTCGCCGAGAAGGCCGGGCCACCAAAATCGCTGGCGAAGTCGGCCAATCGTGCGATTGACTCCAAAATGCCCTTTGGTGGGAGCGTCGTGGAACTCGCCAAGAAGCCGTGTACGCAAGTGAGGATCACTCGGTACGCAAAGAAGGTCCTTCCTCCTC